TGAGTGATCGAGACCCTGCCTGCTATCTGTGTCACCTTGTTGGTTACTTTTTGATTCTTGTAGTTAGTTCTTATTTTCCCTTGTGGTCCAATGATTTTGTGCCTTTCCCAGTGTGTTCTGTTTTATGTTAATAAAATGCCGAGCTGTAATCTATAAAAAAGCATCCGTCGTGGATCTACCTTGAATCTTACCATCTCTAACACCTACAGAGCATCTATTTGCACCAATGTGCCAATATAAAAGTTCACAATGCGATTAAAATGATGTGCACCAGATACGATTTGGGAGGAACTCACGATGCATCTTTTCTAACAATTTACATTAGTAAAATCCGATTGATTCATATATATTTATTAGTATGCCTTATTGTTCAGATATATGACAAAACAATTTTATATTTAGATTGATTCCCCCTCTCTAAACTGTTTCTCAGATGCTCTCTCCCATCTCCAGCTCCCCCCCGCTGTCAGTGTCTCCTCAAGTCTCTCTGCTGTGTCTCGCGCGAGTTGGAGGCGCGTTTAGCGGGTCAGATTGTCACAGAGAAGGAAGAGCTGCACGTTCCAGCAAATTGCTGCAAATCAAATGTTTGGCAACACTTATGATTTAAGAGAGACAATTTGGCAAAACGCGTGCAATTTGCAGAATAAGCCGGACCGCTATGAAGTACACAGGCAGCACGACAAACTTAAAGCGAGGACAATGTGAGTTCGGAGACGCAAATCCGAGAGGGAGGCAGACATCAGCTAGCCCCAGCGGTACCCCTAGCAAGAAGACTGGTGAGCAACTAAGTATTGCAACTTCTTTTTTTTGCACACTCCTTTGGCTAACAGCTCTGCTCGTTCTAAGGCAATATCCGACGTCATTGCTTTTTTATTTGTAATGATACGCAGCCGTACGGTGTTATAGAGAACGCGAGCTACCAATACGGAATACCTCCTCCGAATGACGGAGCCGAGGCTTTAGAGACCATTTAGGAAGCTATTCATCGAGAAACAAATCCCTGTTCTGTATGACAAAGTGAGAAAAAAGATAGCTGAGTCATTGAGCAATGCCCAAAGAGCTGCAGTAACAGCTGATGGCAGGACGTCGTATGTCACAGTCACAGCACATTGCATTGGGACGACAAACCAGAGTGTATTAATGAGGTTCACACAAGGAATAATCTAGCGGTTTTGTTACAGGAAACAAAAGCAACAATGCAAACCAAAATAGCAACGAGTTCACAGTGGGTGATCTGTTAATAGATGAGAAATGGATAAGGAATTAAGTGGATGGATTCTCGCTTTTCCAGAAGAGGGCGCTAGACGTACAATAATAGTAGAAGCTGAAGCAGATCCGCTTCAGAGCTCCTCTGCCGAATGCTGACAGGAGAGCCTGCTCATACAGAGCCTTTCAGGTGGGGTGGGGGGTGTTTAGTCCGCACGGAGCAGGGAACAGGAGCAGAAATATTTTATTTTGTCATATATACAGTACAAGTATTCATGGGAATTCTTCAGTTTCCACATATAGGCTACCACTCTACTCTAAGGGAACATTTCATGTGTTGACCCTTGTGGTGTCAGGCAACAGTGCTGACCAAAGTGTCACTGCCCCTCCTTCAGTGTGGGGCGCCAAGTGTCAAGCGCTCGATTTCATGCACAAAATATATATTGAGCTACAAAAAGCAATATTTAATGATGACTATATTTAATCACTCTCTTATATTTGACTATTTAATGAATAATATGAATAATATTCAAAATGTAACTGGAGCTTGTCTTTAGGTGGACAAAATTCAGAAAGGAATCATTTGATTTCATCATTAAATATTGTTTTTTGTGGCACAAAACATATTCTGCGCTTGACACTTGGCGCCTCACGTCAGAGACACATTAACATGGTCAGAGTTGTCTGGGCTACTTGAGTCGTATTTTCCCGTAATGTTGTAGTTGTTGGGGGAAATACATTTGCTGTTAACTAGGGCTGCAACGATTCATCGAGTGACTCGAATAACTCGATTACAAAAAATCGTCGATGCAAATTCTAATTCTAAGTGTAATCCGCACGACTATGTACTGCTTAGTGATCACTGTGTTTCACTCGGAGGATTATTACTGTCGCACAGTGTGCTTACGCTGCATTATGTGTAGCAGGTTTGATTTGATGGCGCAATGGAGACAGGGAAAATAGCAAGGAAAGTCAAAGAAAGAGACGAAAAATGTCTAAACAAGATTCAGCCCAAGCAGCCCCTATTTTTCCTTAACAAAAACACTGATAACACAACAGCAGTGAAAATGATGCTGTCGTAATTTAATTAACATGGAGCTGGAGCCTGTCTATATATACACTAACAGCAAAGAGACGGTTCCATTACAGAGATGGTGAACTCAGGTGGAATGAAGGAAAACAACAGCAGTGCTTGTAATCGCTACTAAACCTTTACTGTTCAAACTTTACTGTACAAACCAGCTGTTCAACAAGCTGAAAGGTGAAGAAAAGCGATGTTTTCAGCTGCTCCCATCCACTGCTGTTTGTCTTCCACATCAGCAAGGCTACAGTAAAGCTATACAAGTTAAAACAGAAATTGTAACAGAACCCCTATCCCAACAGCCTTGGGCCAGTAAAACTCTGAGACATTGAGTTATTATTATTTCCTCTCTTTTTCAGTAAATCACAG